CGAGCCCTTTTTTAACAGGATTCTTACCGTTTATTGAATTGTGTAGATTTTCTCTGAATGCAATCTTTCACTTTCCATTATGAATGTTTGGTTAACAAGTTAAGAAAGATAATTGGACTGTGTAATTTAATATCCGCAAAGGAAGTACTTGTTTTAGATAGAATTTTTAGTTCCGGTTCGTGTTTGAAAAAGTAGGTATCAAAAATTATTCTTTTCTAAACATTAAGAGCTCCATGAAATACTTACTGCTTCGTGACTTGACACAATATACAGGGTGTTTATTAAACATGCGGCAAAAAATTAAGGGACTATTCCTTGGACTATTTCAAGGATAATTTGTTCTTTGATGATTTTTGATAGGGCGCTTTGTTTCGAAGATACGGGGCAAATAACAATTTTGGTAATTTCAAAATTATTAACGTAGCCGAAGTAAAACTATAGCGTACTACACTAGACCTACCAAGTAATAAAAAATCTAATAATTCCGTTGGTACCTATAAACAACATTCCGATCACTACAAATGGCTGCAGACATTCAGTTTGCTGAGTCTAATGCAATCAGAAACGATCCTGGTGTTTTTTAAAGAGTTAGGGAGTCGATGAGAAGATTGGATTCTTGGATTCTTGTATCCGAGCGGGGGGTAGTCATTTTCAACAGTTCTTGTAGATTCAGAAACATTACATGTAATTTTTGGTAATAAATTGTCATGGTCGAAATTCTTTTTTGCTCCGTATCTTCAAAAATCATCAACGGATAAAATATCTTTAGAATAGTCCATGGAATAGTCCCTTGAATTCTTGCCGCATGTTTGATAAACACCCTGTATATTTCTTATATTAGAATGCAACTCAACATAATTTCTGTCGATAAAAATACGACTATTAGTTTTTGTATTTACTTTCAAATTTGGGATTATTTTGTTGCGAAAATCGTAAAAATGGTATTAATCTATCACGGATTATGCTAAATCATGGTTTTCTTTAATCTACAGAACATTTTATTTTTTATCTTTCATAATAAAATGTAATTTGAAATTTTCGTTTCGTTTTTAAGTCTTTAGTGGCGATATTCACTTTATAATCAAAGTATATTCAATAATGCTTCATGCGTGTGTGTGTATGTACGAGGTTTGTTCAAAAGATGGGTTGAAACTTCATTTTTCTCAAAAAATATTTATTTATTCATCAATTTCAATTTTTATCTTCAAAATAGCCTGCCTCAGATATAATACACTTGTGTCAGCCTTTTTTCCAATCCTCGATATACATTATTCGGTATGTCTCCTTAAACTCTCTTTGCGATTCCGTTTTTTATTGCCTTAATCATCACAAAACGCCGTCTTTTTATGGGTCTCTCCAATCTTGGGAACAGGAAAAAGTTGCAGGGTCCTAAATCTGGTGTATACGGTGGCTGTGGCAAGATTACGGTGTTGTTTTTGTCACGGCAATCGAAGAAAACGGTGAGCAAAACTTTGACATTTGATCGAATATGACATGCTTTTTTTGCTCTTAGCCCTCCTGCGCACTTCCATTGGGAGGAATGGACTTTGGTTTCGATGTCATAACCATATACCTATGATTCGTTACCAGTTTCGACCCTTTTAAGCAAATCTGGAACGCTATTGACGGTTTTTTTGGCCAAAATTCGCTTCGTGCCGAAAATTTCTGAAAAAATTGTATGGCATGAGCCAACCGATATGCCGACATCCTCAGCAACTTCTCTAATAGTGATTCAACGATATTCCATAACAATTTTCTTCACTTTCTCAATATTTTCATCGGTTATTGATGTGCTGGGGTATTTAGAGCGAACGTCGTCATTCACATCTTCTCAACCTTCTGTGAAAAGCTTATACCAGACTCAGAGTACAATCATCGTATGCCACTGTCAACATTCCAAGTGTTTTTGAGCACTTAGATTTTTACACAGAATTTAATGCAAATTCTTTAATCCATTTTTTTCGATAGCAGAAAATCACGCAAATCACTTCTAACTTTCATGCTTCTCACCAACAAATGAAACATGCTAAACAGCTGAAACTGTGAGCATATGTTCGAGACGAGTACACCAATATAAAAAATTAAAATCATTTTCTGCAAAAAATCATAATGACATAGATTGTTTTTGAATTTTTCATTCATGATTGGTTGAATGAAATTTATATTTCAATTGAAAGGATTATATTTTTACGGTATGCGACTGTATTTCAAGCGGAAATTTACTTTATTGAATTGTCTGCGGAGAGATTAGAAGAATCCAACCTCATACACAAGTCAATAAAAATATTCTCGGACAGTCAAGCGGCGTTGGACTTGACCGAATCAGGTTTTTAGAGTTCGGCAGCAGAGGCGGCCTTAGGGGGTGGCGAACGGGGCAATCGCCGGGGGCCTCGCGCAGCAACCCAAGTAAATTTAAAAAAATACAGGTGCACTTATCAGCTTCGTTAAGAAACTGAGTTTATTTGGTCGAGTGTGAATAGGTGTGAGCCACAATAAACCCTTGCGGGTTGCGGTGGAGGGTGGAATAGACCCACTCACTTTGGACCTGACCTATATTTTTACGAGAGTTTAATTTTTGGAGAAGCAAGGTTTTGGCTTTCTACTTCTTCATCTTCATACAAACAATTCAGTAATCTTCCGAAGAAAGAGTGAAACGTTCAAAATGAACTATTTACAAAGATGTGTAGATCATGCAGAAAATTCACTTTCAGACACAAACTGGAAAAAAAGCCCCTTTTGAACAAGTACTTGAAATATTGACAGTAATCATTCTTGATTAATTAAGTTAATTTAATAGAACATTCAAAGGGTTCATTTTTGCTCTAACCTACATTCCTCCATTATTTAAACGATGTGTGTTTCACATAACCCTGAAAAAAAAATGTTGTTATATGAAAAAAAAATACTCACAAAACTTACTCTTTCCATCCCCGAATTGTCATTCTTTGAAGAAACTTGGAAATATTTTTGCAAAACCAAATATTCATAGTAGAAACAAAGCATTGGTTGGAAAATAATAAATTGAAGAGTCCGCTTTCAAGAATCATTATACTATAAAACTAGGGTTCAAAGTAAAACACTTTGAATTAAAAATCGCTCAATTTTAAGTACGTTTCGAATATATGACACTTTTGGACCACTTTTACGACCACCATGAAGGGGAAATTGGAAATTTAAGATTCCATATTCTACATATTCACTCAACATATTCCTTTGAAAATATTTCTGNCAATACCTCAGGGAATTACTAGACTACCAGACGTTTCTATGCAGGCTACCACCATAGAAGAAGTGTCGAAGGAAACTTTAGAAGCCCCTGAATCACTAACAGAATCTCCAGGAGTATCTGTCAATATTAAGTCATACAACATCGGAATCAGATTTGTATCTGTCAAAAACAACTAATGTTTTGATTTCATCAGGAACATTGGAATGTATATCACACATTTCTGAAGGGTGTTTGACAAAGGTAATTGTTAATGTTGCAAATGTATCTAATATTCATCAAGTTATACACAATTTGTATTCACAAATATGAATAATACTAACGACACGTGTCAAAGAAACGCCAAAGTCTTGAGGGAATTCATGTATTTCCTTTGGCCTTTTTCCAAAATCATTTTGAATATTAAATCGTTTCAATTTTAATATAATATTCGAGTTTACTGATACATACGCATTAGTCCTTCTAAAAATAATATTTACTTCCTCTCTTCGGGCGTGAAATCGAATGTTCAGGCTATATTTAAACCATAAACTGATAATGAAGAGTCGAACTGACGCACTTTGACGATAAATCCTACAGAGCTGTGCTTCTACAAAGATAATTCATTATTTTGATGCAAGGTAATAACATTCAATTCAGAATTCAAATGATGTTTATCTGAATGAGTGTCTGGTATTTACTTATCTTTATGTTTCAGAAAACAGTTTATTCTAGATGGTGTTTTGAAACATGCAAAGAGAAATTGATTTCTTAGAAAACGTTGACATAATATCGGTTCAACCTATTTTACCGAAAATACCAAGGAAATTTTACAATTGCGGCGGCACTGGACCCCGGCCGGTACCGCCGCAACCTCTATGTCCCTACATGGTAAATCTGCAATATCTTCGAAAAATAATCGTTTGAATTATGTGCTGTAAAGGGCCATCAATATTGAATGCACATTGTATTTAAGGTACTAAATTGGATAAGGATTAATGCCGTATTGCTTAAAGTAGCTTCGTAAATAAGCCATTATTTATCAAGGATCAAAAATTATTATTGTGGGTTATCCCTTCTCCCTAAGAGATAGACATATACTATCGCGGACTTTGTGTTTATTTACGACATCACATTATAAACCTCTAAATGATCAGCGTTTCTCTACTATATTATGCATGTTATATACATGTTATGTGTAATGACAAAATGATCGACATTAATATGAACAGAAATAAATGTTTAAAGATAAATCCAGAAATAAATTTATGAAGAAAACAAACTGATGTGAGCTGAAACCAAAATGTTTATTAATGATTGATATGAGTTTAAAATAATTAGAAAGCTTAAAAATTGTATTTATTTCAAATTTATTTTTGCCGTTTTCTTTCTTATGATTATCCTTGTATTCTGGATAGGTTAGGATACATCCAAATCACATATTGATTGGAACTATTGTGTCCCTATTCAACTGTCTAGCATTATCTGAATTATATTACATCTAATCATTAAGGATGGATCTCTTCCAGAAATAAGTTGATGGTGCGGGTTATGAATTTTTCAGAGAAAGTAGTTTCAACGCGAGTGGAAGAGAATATGGGTTGAATTTCCTGTTGTAGATTGAACTCGACCTTAATTGTTTGTTTTTTATACTACTAGAATATTTTATATTTAACTTGTTTCGTTTATAACTTAACAGTGTACGCCAGAATACTGAATTTGAACTTAATTCATTGATACATGTTTACATATTATTGATATTTCGAAATATTCATAAACATCGTTTTTGTTTCAGAACGCCGAAGAAAATGCCACATCCCCTAGCATTGAGTCACCAAAAAGTGAGGACTTAAAGGTACCAGAAGCGGTAACAAACGGTGATGCTCCTGCTGATGATACCGCTAAACCAACTGATACACCGACCACTGTGGAAGAACCAGAAAAACCTGTTGAGGAACCAAAAGCCGAGGAGCCCAAAGCTGCTGAAATAGAAGAACCTAAAGTTCCCGAACCCATCGTTGAAAAATCCGTCGAATCCGCTCCTTCTCCTGCCAAGGAACAGGAGGAACCTAAATCTGTAGAACCACCAACTCCTGTTGAGGAGACCAAAGAGGTGCGTAGCGAGGAGATCCCCCCTCCCTTGCCATCCTCTAATCCTCCATCCCCGGTGACGGTATTCGCTGAATCCACTAAAGCAGACTCTCTAACTGCTGATCAAGTACCCATCAATTTGCCCCAATCTGTTCCTGTTGTAGAAACAATTCCAGAACCGTCAGTTGTACAGTCGGTCCTTGAGTCTCAGCCCTTGGCAGCTTCTTCACCTGTAATCAACACTGTTTGCGAAAACCCTGCAGTGTTAGAAACGAAAATAGAGTCTGTATCTCAACAAAATGATGAAAAATCATCTCTAGAAACCGTTTCTGTCCCCGAGCCTTTGCAAAAAGATAATACTGAAACCTTTAGAAATGATCAAGCATCCGAACAAATTTCTGATTCCTCCAAAACTGAAATTTCAAAGACCCCTGAATGCGCAACTGATCCTTCAGCCCCTATTGAAGTTTCTCCTGATGCACCTAAATCCTCTGAAATAGATTTGATTCCGTCACAAGAAACAGAAACGTCTCCTAAATCAGATAAAATCCCTGAGGAGGTTACCAAGTCTGAAGTGATAGAAAATCTTCCTGAAAATGCAACAGAATCTAAACAAGAAACAGTAATTTCTCCTGAGTCTGTCAAAACGGTATCAGAGTCCCAAAAAGAGAATGAGCCTGAACCTGTCTCAGAACCTACCGAAACTAATCAATTAGTTACTGAAAAGAATGAGTCAACTTTGCATGTTGAGGCAGCTGAAATTACAAAAGAGGAGAAACTACCAGACGTTTCTATGCAGGCTACCACCATAGAAGAAGTGTCGAAGGAAACTTTAGAAGCCCCTGAATCACTAACAGAATCTCCAGGAGTATCTGTCAATATTGGTGGAGCACAACTAGCCACAGAAAATTCTGAAAAACCTGAAGAAGAAACAATAGAGGATGCAGTGAAATCAATAAAATCTCCAGATGTTTCCAATGAAGTAATTGAAACTTCTGAAGTGCTCTTGGATCCCTCTAAACCTAAGGAAACAGTAGTAGTAGAAGAAAAACCAGAGATTCTTCAGGAAACTCCAAAAGATTTTAAAGAAACCGTTACAGAATCAGCCGAACAATCTTCTGATATTCCGGAGGAGTCTGCGAAGTTACCTGAACCTTCACAATCTCCCGAAACGTGTCTGACGGAACCTCCAGTGGAGCCCTCACTTCCTAGTCCTTTATCTTCGACTGATGTAGTTCAAGAATCTTCCACCCCAGTCCCTGAAAATATTCCAGGACCAGTTGTTACTTCACCAGAATCTCAATCCCCAACGATAGAGCAGCTTCCAGAATCTGTAGTTAATCCTGCAGATTCTTTGCCCGATATTTCAACAGAGTCATTACCTTCACTTCCTGAACCTCTTTCTGAAAATTTGGCGGAACCGATGTCTTTACCTCCTGTGGATTCAGTTCCCGAACCCATAGCAACTGACTGTCCTGTTTCTGAAATTTCCCATCCCTCCGACAGTACAGTTCTCACAAACGGAAACGCCAATGGACTGCCGTCACCAACTGATGAGGTTTCAGCGCTGCCGCTGAAAGAAGGACCACTGAAACAGGTGAATAGTGTTTCCCCAGTTTCCCCATGAGAAAAGTTTTTCTGTATTTGATCGGCTCATGCATTAACCTCTAGTTGCTCTTCGTTCTAGTCTTTTAATTTATAGTATGTTTGTCCCCAAACGTGATTGGCTGGAATTGTGCTAACAGATTGATTGATTATTCCTGAATGATAATAACATTTCCCATTCCCACTAAAACTTCCTTCAATTTGTTTCCTTTAGTTACGTTCAGACATTGTGTTATAGAGAAAGTCTCAGTTTTTACTGTTTATTTATAATCGCCTGAAAATTATGTAAGTAGTACCTATTCTAGATGTTTTATATATTTCACATAAATATTTCGTTTGCATATGACAATAATGTGGAGAGTTGTTGTCAATAACCAGTTTTTTTTTTTATTAGAATAGAATATGGAATATTTGAGAAAGAATGGTTTGGTCTTTCTACTTTTCCATCTTTATGCAAAAAACGTGAAAATCTTCCATAGAAGAAGGCAATCAATTTCAAAATGAACTCTTTACAAAGATTCCCACATTCTTTTGTAGAAAGCTGAAGAAGTAGAAAGCCATAACCTTCCTTTTCCAAAAATTCATCTCTCCTTAAAAAACACCCCTTTAAATTTGATATACAATTGTCTTGAATCAACAAGAAGTGCAATTTTCTGACAAAAGATTTTAAAAATCGTAATACTTACATTCAATATAACTTATTTCAATTTTAAGAAATGTTCAAATTTATGAATAAATGAATTACATTTTAACAAAAATCGATTTGCAATACATTTAATGATATTCAAAATCGAGTATTCTCAATGTTCATATTGCAAAAACCTCAAGGAAAAAAAACATTGTCGATGTATTCAAAATCTGAAAATATCTCTGTTATATTCATTACTTAGAGGATTTTGTTTTTCTACTAGATTCAGTACAGGCAATTTTATTTTTCCACACTTACAAGTAAAAATAGTGAAAATTATATGGACTCATATTTTGTATCGAGTAAAATCCTACAAACCTATTGACCAAGTGTAGTGGTAAATTTTGGCATATTCATTCATCTATCTTGTTTCCAGGTTCCTACTGAAACTTCAAATGAAGTACGACAAGAAGAGGGAGATCAGAAGATTATTGCTGTGGTGAGTTTCTTCCTTGATAATTGAGTATTTATAAAATATAATGACAATCGTCTTTGATTATGCTTGAGTGTTGAACTTGAGCTGAGGTGCTTGATCATCCCAAATAAGGAAAAAGGATAACAGAATAATAAGAAAATTTCAGTAAATCAAGTGAAACAGTCATGTGATAATATTGACTCATCAATTGATGCAACTAGTTTTCCTTTATCATCAATGTTTTGATATCAACACTTGTTCACAAAAATAATTTGAAACTTTAATAACTTCTAATTATTATATGCGAGCGCTTTTGATAGGCTGTGCTATCATCTTCATGGCTCTACTCAAACTGAACGTTTTATCTTCTTGTTTGTTCTTTTATACGGTTAGAACGCCTCAGTGCAGGTATTTGTCCTCTCCTTTCATCCGGATGTCTCTTTAAATTTGCCTGTACTTGGATTACATCAGGTAATTTATTTTATGTTATTTATTTATTTGTTTACAAAATCTACAGAACATGGCCCATACATCTTTGAAGCCTTGTTTGTTATATTCAGTATATGAGATCTAAATGATAACTCATGATCAAAAGTAACACCAAGGTCTGTTATTTCTTGAGTTCTGTTGAGTTTTATACCGTCCATCTCGTAGCTGTATATTATACTGACTTTTTTCCGGTAGAAGGTCATAGTATTACACTTTTGAACGTTGAATAACAATTTGTTCTTTTATGACCATTCAACGATGTTATTTATATCATTTTGTAGATGTACACAATCTTTAACTGTTGAAATTCTTCTGAAAATTTTCATGTCATCTGCAAACAACAAGTAGCAAGATGATGTGATATTTTTTACAAGACTGTTGATAAATAAAATAAATAACAAAGGACCCAAGTTGGAACCCTGGGGAACTCCAGACGATGCAATAAATGGACTGGACTTACGCCATTCCACTATCACACTTTGTTTTCGAATAGATAGATATGAACTGAAATATTTCATTAGGTTGGGATGGGAACCAAAATCATATCCTAGGGTTCTTAGAAGAATTGGATGGGAGACTTTATCAAAAGCTTTAGCAAAGTCGGTGTATATTATGTCCACTTGAGCACGACTATCCAAGTTTTCAGCTATAAATTGGGTAACATTGCTAAGATTACTAACAGTGGATCTTTTTTCATGAAGCCATGTTGGAACTGTGATATTTTAGGAGAAACTCGAAAGGTTTTGTCACCTTTTTTGAAGACTGGAATAACCTTTACTTCTTTCCAGATGTCAGGAAATGTTTTGCTTCTCAAGGACAGGTTAAAGATAGTTTTCAATGGATAAAACAAGAAGTCGACAAGATCTTTGAATATAATTGTGGTAATATCCTTTGTGTTGGTGGTTCTCTAGGTTCATTGTTACTAGGAATGTGTATTGTTTTGTGGAGTATATTGAATATTAGGTCTTGTTGTGTTTTGATTTGTATTTGTTCCTCGATAAGTGAATTATGACTTTTAACCAACAAAGAACAAACAAGAAGATAAAACGTTCAGTTTCAGTAGAGCCGTGAAGATGATAGCACAGTCTGCTATCAAAAGGGCTCGCATATAATAATTAGAAGTTAATAAAGCTTCAAATCCTTTTTGTGAACAAGTGTTAATATTGAAACAACCTCAGGAAGTTAAAGATAAACAAACAACAAATAATTTACATCATAAATGATATATCATTTTTTAAAAAAGGAAACCACCTGTTGTTCCACATGGTTCTATTCAAGGACTCTAATCCGGTAGACCAGCCTTCTGAAAATGCTCAACATGAACTTGTGATTTTTTTGTCTTGTCACATTTTTCCCTCAGTATAATTCTTCGTTAGGCCAAGTTTTGTCCTGATAATGAATCTTTTTATTCTCACGTTGAATCTTTCTTATCTGCTTTAGGTAATGTCTCCTCCAGCAAATAATTTAATCATTTTTTATTAAGAGAGATTTTCTGTTTTGTTTCCCAGCTGAAATTTGAGTCCTTTGAAGTTTCCCACAATTTCTTTCTGCGTATCATTAGAGATGTACTTTAATCTTCTTTTAAGGCTCGCATTATTAAGTTGAGAGTCAGTATTTCTTTCTTAAAGTAAAATGATGTACTGTTTTTCTAATTGAAATTTTGTAGTTTTCATGAACAGGCACAGTTTTTCTTCCTGAAGATGATGTTAGTGATTTCACAGCTTCGTTTTTTCTGTCGTTTTTGAATTTATATATCGATGATTTCGAAACTCCCATCATTTACGAACAAATTTCTACCAGAGTGTCAATGGTATACGAAGGATTTTTGGTTATGAGAGCGTCTTATGTATTGAGAATAATAGTCTTTTCATTAACATTAAATTCTCGAGACAACACCAGCGCATCTCGAAAATTTGTTGTTTGCAATGTGTTTTTTATTTTTATTTTTCAAATACGTATCTAATATGTCTGATGATGTTTAAAATAGTATTATCATCGACACGAAAAACCTACTTTTCGGTGAGTAATTTAAATGAGATCTCATTATTTCTTGGGAAATTGAAATAAGTTTTGTGGAAGGTATATTAATGAAAATTCATTGTTACAGAGCCCTGAAGAAGAATTTAAATAAATTCGAAAAGTCGGCAAGAATATGCACTAATAACGTTTTTTTTTTTCTACATTATTCCCAAAAGGGTAGTTCAGTCAAATCTAATTTTGTGTCTTATTTTTATTTGGATGGATGAAAAAGTGGATAATATTTACTGTTAATGACAAATGTTCTCTATCAAATTCAATAATTAAAAGCGTTTCTAAAGTCCAGTTTTTGAAATTTTATTTTTTGCAGAAATAAAAGTGAAGGGATATATTGAAAAGGTTGTTCACTAATGGGTGTGAATGCATTTATTTCATTGTTATTTTTAAATAAATGTAATAATGTATTTGTCTAAAATATTATTTGCAACAAAAATAAGTTCCCTTTTCTTTGCATTGCAATTGGCAAGCCTTTGTTACCTTTTTCCATTTTTTGCAACAATTGAAATTTGTTTGGTGCAGTAACATAGAATTAACAGAATACACTATCACAGAATCAATAAAATTTATTATTTATTACTACATTCTGTTATTAAAACTTTTCTTTTTATTTCAGGATGCACCAGCAGTTGAGGAATAAGACTTCTCTTTGAAAAAAATGTTTCTTTTTTACATGCATTACATGGACTCTATGAAAGGTTAGAAAGAAATAAAAAAAATAATGTTGATCATTCCTGGCAGTGAACAAATTTCTGACCGAACAGGAAGCAAATGAAACTGCCATTAAAATTAGAACCTAGAATCTATGAATGTCCAACGCGCAACATAAAAAATGTAATTGAGAAGTTTTAATACTCCTATATTGAAATATTTTATATTGTCTTTAGTAGAAGTCTTCGGACAGTTTTTATATGTCGTTCAATCGACTTTTTTATCGTATACAATTGTAAAATAAAAGAGTTAGCATAGTTTTTAGTATTTTTTAGGTGAGCTCATTAATTTTCCCCTTTGAAAAATCCATGTATTTTTGTCACATTGATTATTAAAGAAGTCATAATTAGTTATCAATTATTGATTTATCATATCTGTAATTATTCGGTTTTATTTTAGTGTTTTCTTTAGATTAGAGACATATCTTATGCATGAGAAGGAGAACGTTAAAGCTAGCTCGGTGGTTTCGAAGTGTGAGTTCAATGTTTCAAAAGGATTTGTAGAAAAAATCGGGCATTATTTAACATAAAGTGAATCGTAATTTTGTCTGTATAAAAATTATTACCACTCAGAATATTTTCCAATTATGGATGTGTAGAATAGCAGATAATCGGCTGTCTTATAATAAGTATACAGTGTGACTTCGTGTATTTTCTGCTTCAGGCAGCTAACTCACCCTTGTTTGATATTTTTCTTTGGTGGTACAGTATCACTTTTCTTCAGGAACTCCATCATCAATAGATGTTCAACTTGGATAAAATATTTGACATAATAAACAAATAATTTTTCTGTGACTTTTTTAGTTTTATATTGTGATGATTGAAAGTTTTTGAAAATCAATTTGTGTATATGTTCAACTCCAAAAAGAATACTTCATCTTCATGGTACTGTAATTTTTATCCAACTACAAATTCATTTTGAAAAATAGCGAACGACTGTGTGGTTTGAATAAAATGTATAATATTAGTTGGTTTTGAAATTGAAACAAATTCCAAGTTTTGTACATTACACAACGAAAATTGATTTTAACTGATGTTTGGTATCTCAAAATTTTAATATGTTAGCATAGTTTTTTAAGTGAGGAATCTAGTTTCGATTTTACCAACTTGAAACTGTATTCTGTATTCATCTGTGTCCACAGCTCTTTGATATTTCGCAATTATTGTATCCACCGACTTATCAAAACGGCTGTGTGTAGGTATAAAACGATTATCGATAATAAATTCTCTTCGTGTATGTGTGAATGTGTTTATAATATAAATATACAATTAGGATGTTTCCTAGTTTGTTCTTTTTTGTTTTCACCTAGTTTATCCTATTGAATCTCCAAATATGTGTTGAAATAACTTTTCTTTTAGTCACATGTTTTGTCAACCAAGTTGGTATCATCAAGAAATGATCTGAATTCTTCAGAATCAAAGTTTTCTGAAATCTTTGAACATAGTTGAAACATTTTCAAAAATCCAATATAACAATACCTACCATGTAATTATCATCGTGATTTGAATTATATCAAGTAGAATAAACTAACATAAAAGTAATAGACAATCAATCAATCAATAATTTATTCAATCCTGTGGATCTTACAAAGTTATAGACCAAGTCAATTTGGAAACAAATTCCTACAAATAAAACAAAACATTGAGTATATCAACACTAAACATGCAGAGTATACAGGGTCTTTCACGACGAGCGTTCGTTAGGAATATATGGAGAACGATTCAAAATAAAAACTTGAAATTTTGTGCTAGTGGGTTTTACAAAATGGCCCTCTCAACTTATATATTTTCAACTTCTGACCTCTTTCCGTTATACCGGAAGTTGAAGGCAACTTCCCTGTTTCAAATGGAACACCATGTATTTTATTACATTTTTGAATTTCTCAGCACATTTTAGTCCCACTTTGTATAACAATGCCTATACCCAAATTTGTTAGTTTCCGAGATATTGATTTTTTTATGAAAAATTTGACAGTTACAGCACCACTCCGAAAAAAATCATAACTCATAGACAGTAACAGTTGAAAATGTGAAACTTCACAGAATCACACCTTGAGCATCAAGTCATGAACAGGTCCATCGAATTTTCGAAAATAATCTAACATCGAGAAAATTGATGAAACACGATTTTTTCAAATGGAAACCATACACTATTCTATTATTTCTGGATACTACGAATGTCCTATACCTATACCTAAAATACACCCCTGATATATCCGATTTTGGGAAATATTTGAAATGTAAATCATTTGAAGCAATACCAAACCAAGGAAGCTTTGAAAAAAAAAAGTTACAACAAATATGTCAAAATTTGATGCGATATAATTGACGTGTATTTCGTAGTTTTCTATTTATGTGCAAAATGTCTCGTTTGGGGTATTCTAATGAAGATTTCCTGAATTTAATAATCATTTATGGTGAACGCAATAAGATAATGGACAGAACTTGTCGTGTTTTTGCAGAAATGTTTCCAAATCTACACAGACCCAATAAAAATATTCTGAGAAGACTTCTAAGAAACTGCCGTGATTTCGGATCTATTTCGTCTGTCATCAACAAAAAAAACATTCGTAAACAATGAGGACATCGAAATTGTAGTTTTGGCCTATTTCACAGCCTATCCAGAAAATTCGTTGAAAGACGCAGAAAAGTCACTTAGTATTTCATGTTCGTCAATAAACCGTATTTTAATTAAACATAAGTGGCCTCCCTTTAAATATCATCAGGTTCAAAATCTGAAACCTCACGACTTACCTGCACGAGTGAAATTCTGCGAATGGTTTCTTATCCATACTTTGGGTTGGGACGAATTTCGTGCGCATTTCATTTTCTGGTGTCACTGTGGTGCAAATTCTACTGAAGGTTATAGTTTTTATAGTTATAGATAAAATGGATATGGACAAGTTGATAAAGGATTTTCGTAAGTTACAAGGTGAACGTCAGCGGGCGAAGCAGATGCTAGGTCAAGGGGGTGCGAACCAAGCGGGTGCAAACCCGCTAACGTTTCAAGTCCTAGTATTTCGAAGAGCAACACTGCCTGAAGAACTTGAACTTGAACAACAGACAAATGTGATTGTAATGGTGACACAGCATTACCTATTATTTCGGTTTAGAAATGGTTACATTTTTTTTTTGTCTGAGTAATGGCAATGTTGGGGATGAACGGAATATTGAAAGCTTTGATGATGGCGAACCCGAAGAAGGCGAAGAGGAGTGTGAACCACCAACGAGAATAGCAACATTGACAATTTTTCGATCAACACAATATTTAACTGTAGAGTTCGCTGATGTGCCCCAAAAACGACTATTTATTAGGGCTCTAGAGCGATTTTTAAATTTAAGTTGAGAAAATGCATACTATTAATAGGTTTATTCATTGTGTTTTATTCTTTTTGTAGCCGAGCCAGTTCCACTTCCACCCACTCTGGAAGATCATCGATGATGGATGATGAATGATATACAAAAGTGTTTCTTTCAATAAATAAAAACATTTAGTAAGTAAGATCAGTTGTTGATCGTTCTTTTTTCTAACTGTCTCTATTTTATTGTCTCTGATTGAAGCATAAATGTTTCTAAATTAAAGCGTATTCATATGTGCTGAAATGGCCCAACAGAAAAAGACGAATTTTTAAGACGAGTTTTTAAATGGTAAATTTTCTTGGCCGAAACCGTATTCACGTTTGGCAAATTCTTTAAAAAATTTAACTTTTCAAAAGCTATTTTGAAAACCAGGCTAAAAGCATGAAAATGTGTTGTGTTCTGAGGGGGCTTTACTAGTAGTTAACACTCGGATAGTAAAATTTATGATTCATATAGTAATCCGCTACCCGTCAACATGGGCGTACCTCAGAGAACACTAATAGGCCATATTTTATTTTTGGTCTATGTAAACAATATTTTTCCGTCTTTCAGGTCTATTTTGCAGTGTATAAGGCTTATTAAATTGAGACCTCAAAGAATACGCTAGACGCGGATCATCAACTTCATATATAGGTCCTAAACCAGCTCTGGGGGTACCAAAATTATTGGTACGAAACCAGATTAGGACATGGACCAATAAGAAACACAGAGTACTGGACAAAAGTACCTGGCAACAAACACAGTAGAACCTTCATTAGGGAACTGTCCGAGAAAAAAACCGAAGAACTACTTCAATATAGTAGGGAATGGCTCAGAATAATTACAGGGTTACTAACCGGTAGTTGTCCGCTTAGAGGACACCTGAATACAATGGGGCTGTACAACGAAGACCTCAGCTGCAGATTATGTCTGTCGGATGTAATGCAATGCTCTTCGTGGTATTAGCCAGGGGAGTAGTTGTTTTCTGATAGGTTTCAGTCCATTAACCCACAGTGTAGGTGAGTCGAGACTGGGGTCTGAACGAATTGTTCTTTTAGCTAATTCGGAATACTGTATGTAGACGAGAAGAAAGGCAAGAGAAAAAAAAATAGACTTCCTTTCCGACCACGAAAGAGGATGGTTGTGCCGATAATGACCGCTCTCAAAGATGGCACTTGGATGTCATAGTCAGAATGGAGTCCAAAAGTGAGGAGTATACTAAAGCAACGTAAGGGGTTGTTGAAAACAAGAAAAATAAGTAGTGAGAGGATTGGCGGCCCTCTCAGCTAGTAAGCAGGGTGGATATCGACGAGGTCGTCAGTTCTATAAAATACATGAACGTGTGTATTTGTGTCAACTCCCGATCTAATCGACACTGGATTTGTTAATTCCATCAAACTTTCGAATAAATTCACGAGTGAGATGGAAGTGAATAACTGTGAATTTTCTAGACTTGACCATCACTAGAAATAATATTAAACATACTTTTACAACTCATTATACACAATTCACCTATACATCCATACCAACATAAAGTAGCAGCATTCAATGGTATGATTCACCGACTTTTGAATATTCCACTTTCAGAAAGCAATTTTCAGAGAGAACCGACTTTCATAAAATATATTGCTGTCAACGACGGTTACGAGATGGATATTATTGCCTGAATTCTTTCTAAATAATTGCAGAAACAAGCTCACTACCAGGTCTATCCAGTTTCAATGAATGATACTAAATATTAACTGTAACATACTTTGGTAATCTTACTAGTTGCAAGTTTTTAAAAAAGTATAGAATTGGACGTAGCCTAACATAACACAATAATTTGAGTAAAATCATTAAAAACAATAAAGATAAAACTCCAGTGTCAAATAGATCGGGAGTTGACACAAGTTGACCTGCTTTTATATCGGATAAATCGGGAGAACTTTCTCCAAAAGAATAAAAGAGCATAGAAGTAGTTTTTTGAATGGAAAGACTAACTCAACATTTGCAAATCATCTTTTGACAGAGGGGCACGAGTTCAATCACCATTATGGCGTAATACATTTAGAAATCAATAAATATAAAAATTTGGGATACTACTCAATGATCAAATATATCCAAATTGTTCCGCTTTGCTGAAATTAGTTTGCAACGTGGAAATTGGTACATAGGATAGATCTTGAAAGTTGTTCCTAGATAGGTTCCTAGTTCAGGTAATGAATTTATGATGTAGAAATTTGGCACTGTTTGAATATTGATTGATTCTGGCTTGAGCAAATAGATTTCTTGAGATTATTTTGGATGAGGTAAAGCATGACTCATTTTCTTTTACTTATAGGAATAACTGAGAGAGTTTTATTGACATTGGCCTTTTTGGAAGCAAAGGATAAAAAAATGACAGTAGTGTATGACAGTATGACAAGCATATGACATCTCAGTATGACAACCTTGTAGGACACAACTTATATTTTATATGTTGTTTTGAAAGGTAGACACTGTTTAACTTTTAACACACTCCCTGAACAGAAAATATATGAACGAATAAACATTCAACATAGAAAACATTACAAATAAGCAATAGAAATATACAAGTTCCATCCTTTAACTATAAGTTGACGAGATACAGTTTTAATTATCTCGGTAAAAAATTGTACAATATTGTAGATAAATCAATTAGGGATATTAAGTTTCTCAATTCCTTCAAATCAAAAATAACACTGTGGATCGTTGAGAATTCCAACCAGTTGTTGCAATTGTTATATCATCCAATACAATAAAAAGTTGTATTCACATTTTCAAACTCACACATTTTATATTCAACTACTGTCTACCGACATATCTCTACCCCATATCTTTTTTTCAGCCTTTTTTTACTCATTTTGTTTCTTAAATTCTGTTGCAAATAATTATGTCTGAGTTCATAGTCCTGTATTACGCGACACATAACACTTACAAACGTT